ATATTTAATAACAGAACACATTTAACAATCAAGTCCCGTTTGCATTAGTATGTTACACTTGTTTCAATGTTTTTTGCGATCGTTCGGACCTCATTTCCGCTCACCGGCTTCATTTAGTACTGCTTATAAACAATACGCATCTATCACATAATATTTGGATGGTTAGAATCAAATGAATTAATACATGTTGGTATTATTACTTACTTTAGGTTGGCTTTTTTAGGTTGTTTGATAATGAGTTCTGATATTTTCGCGAGTCATTTAAATGAAACTAATATTTTGCGCATATACTACGCGACTTTATTTTTTGATAAAAACAACATACTCCCGACGTTTCGGTTACTTTACAGTCACCGTGATCACTGGCAGACGGCATCTCGGGTCATCGCGTAGTATATACGCAAAATATTAGCTTCAATTTATTTTGTTTGACCGTGGAGCGTCGCCGGGTCGTCTAGTATGTCTCTATTGGGTTACAATGACAGATTAATCTGATATTGAGATGTTCAAGTGACGGACACTTCTTGGTTTACACCGTCGAGTAACGCGACACCCATTACGTGTAAGTCGAGTTTCACTCCACCACTGTTACAGGTTGACTGATCTTTAAAATATTTTTTGCTAGTAAAAAAGTTTTTTAAGCATATTGATTATATATTTTTTTGAGTTAAATATTACTATTTTTACAAATATAAAGTGTTTTCATTTTCATTTCTTTAAAACATATTTATAATTAAGTTTCGTTTCCAATACGCCAGTCTTTCTGTTTAAACTACGTAGATTCTAGAAGTAGTGTACTTATATCTATAGTAAATTGTAATCAAACAACAGTATGTAGTATTGTAGTTCAGTGTGTGTAGAAGGCGGGTATTCAGTGTAATTGTCTCCGTCTATGATTAATGCTGTAGTGGTTTATTCCGTATACCAATTGGCTGACCTGGATGCCTTCATCAAGGAACAGAACACTTCACTGGCAGTTCTTTGTCTTAAGCTTTATTGTGACACATCCTAGTTACTTTAAACATAGCTATATGTGTTGAAAATATATATAGATACAAATAAAACTACTTCTGTATGTAGGATACCTTTTGTGAAATTATTGTACGATTATCGAAAATTTCTAAGACAAAAGATTGTTGATTAGATTTGAATTTATGGTTTAGGAACTTAACAAGATCGTTAATGTAACTCAAAGGTAGTCTTAAATAATGTTTAAGTTATGTCGAATGGTCATAACGATACTTCTAATAAGGTGATCTTAATAAATAATGAATAACTGCAATATTATGTGGTAGTAGACTCAAGTAGACCTTTGTAGACATTAGACGGTGAATATCACAATGTTTAATTCATGTTGTTTATAATTTCGTAAACACCTCCCACTTCCCGTGTCCATTTACGGCTTCCTTCATAAATATATTAATTAATATGGTGTTTCTGTCTGTCTTTTCACGTACATTTTTCTAATCATTTGCTTTTATCGTCAAACAGAATATAAAACGGCCGCTAACATACTATAAATATTTATTATATCATTAAACTATTAATTCCCATAGTGATGATGTTCTTTTATATGTACATAGTTCCTACTATATATAGGAGTATGGGAAGTTGTTAAGTTTCAATGATTATTTTTTCTTATATTAATTATTTTAAATTTTTTACTCTTAGTATTCAGGTAAATCTTATTTCGTATGGTTTTAAATATTCTGAAAATGGTTATCCATTTTTCTTACTTTTGAGAATATGTTCAAACACTAAATCGTATAGTATAAAAAATTACTCAAAAATGAGGAGGCTAACTAGTCCGTTCAGGCTTTGACGGAAAAAATATTTTATTTTTAGCTAAAGTTTCTCTCCTTTGGTATAGTTTTGAAATAAAATTGTTCTTTTATATATACGTAATAGGTAAAGGACGAGTATAACGTTGAAATTTATGTGAATTCAAATGAATTATTGTATTGTATTTTTTCTCGAATACCTATTAATCTTGAAAATCGGAGCAATAAAAGAGTTCCATTAGTTGACATAGTCCAGTTAACTTCACAAGGCGTCTTCATCATACATATTTATATAATGTTATTATTACATATATGTATATATGTTATATATGTTGTATGTCTGTGTGTTCGTGTACAGTGTGATGTATTTTCATATATAATGATATATTTCCTTGGGAAATGCGATGCGTGCAGCGCGTGTTTACATCACTCCTACAGAGGAAGTCCGTGTTTCTTCCTATTACTATATAATATATTGTATGTCATATTTTGTAATTCTTTTTTGTTCTGCTATCTTCTTCTTTATTGTACTGTCATTAAAGGGTAAAATTCTGAATCAAGATACAACGTTTTCGATCCATTCATTAAGAATAGTAAGTTATATTTTGATTTGTGTTTCCGAAACTCGATTTCCATGTGTATGTTTGTACGTGTCTAGATTTAGCTCCTCAACCCAGCGTCTCTGATTCAATCTTATTGTTTTGAAACAACTCCGATGTGGATTTATTTGACGTCTGTGCAATGCTCATTTCATTCCACTGCTAATGCGTTCTGTTATTGCAAATTTTGTTTGAATTAACCGTATTTGGTCCATGGTACACTTGCCTTCAAAAACAAATTATATGAGTATAGTATTTCATATTTACATTTTAAATTTACGCTTATTTTTTTTATATACAATGTATGTAGCTCAGTTCTGTTTACGAACTCATATACACGTGTTAAAGCTTTTTTTTAAATGATACTGAATTAAATAAATTCTCTCTATTAAAATAAAATATTATTATTCACAAGTAATCTTATATTACCATATAATAATTTCAATTGTTAATTTCAATGGGTGTTTGATCGTGTTGTGACTGCGTACAGTAACAATCGAGAGTTTATTTCGTGGGCGGAGTCAATGTTACCGAAACGACTTCGGTTTAAATGTTAACGGCTCGTTAACAACACGAGCCTCACATAAATATATATGAAGTACATTATAATACTAACGAAGGTTTAATAACTATATATACATATATGTACAAGATACAGCCGTCAACTTTTCTTATAGAACCGAAATTTAACGCACCATATAATTTTCAATCAGTGCTAAATTTTTCATTTACAATATTTATCTATCAAAAATAACAAAATAATTCAACAATCAAAGAAGTTTCATATAAGGGTTTATACTTTAATGTATTGAGTCCATAGCAAAAATTAATATTGTGGTATATGGTCCCTGAACTTTGTCTGAATGCATCTTTGAAGGCTGAATCAAAATGATGTATGGAGTGATACATATCTCTCTGTATATGGGCGAAAAGTTCATATAACCAATTAAAAATGAATATATTCTTAGTATAAAATATTTTATTGAATGCGTTCCGTCGGTTCGTTGATGGTAATGTTAATGTATCTGATTCTAAACAGCATCAGACCCGAGCGTGAGAACTAATCACGTGTTCATAACTGTATACTGAGAAAATGGAGTTCTCAGTATATTATGGATCAAAAACATGGACCGTCATCTGGGGCTTCGTATACATAGATGACACTATATACAAACAAGTGTAATGTATTTCTATAAAACTACTAAGAAAGTTTTTTTAAATAGTTTTTCTAATCGTATTTGACTTTACCCCTTCTCTACTACAGAATGTAATTCGACATGTGATAGATGGACAAAAAAAACTTAAGCTGTGTAATAAAATATACTATTGATAATTCTTATAAATGGCATGTCTTTATTATTACAAATTGTATACGTTTATCAAGTTAGAGGGAATTCATACATTTTGATATAGAGACGTTGTGAAACAAATGATAATGCTAATTAGTTGTAACTAAATTCTAATTTATGCTGGTAGATATTTAAAAGCGGTATTTCGAAATTATTCGTAAATTTACACGTGGTAGAAGTGGGAGGGAGAGGTAAAACAGTTGAATCTCTCTACAATCTACTAAAAGATTTAACCCTGTGCAGAACTTACGTCAATTAATTCTGGAAACTAATTGAAAAGGTAACCCTAGTAGGTTCGTTTCAAATTGGATTAAGCAGAGAGAAGAGCTTGGACAGTGGAGGTGTGCGTTTACCGCGCTTTAGATAGAGCATATTAAAGCTACTTTTAATAGTGTGGTTACTGGATTAGAAAAATATTCTTTTTATTATATTATGTACTACTTCATTACGTGTATGTATGTAATTCGCTTGGTTTACTAGATCCGTATCACCCCCTTAGAAGATCTCTCTGAAACGATTTTAACGATACCAATCACACCACGTTCGTTCGGTCACTTTCAACTTTAACACTTATGTTCAAAAAAATTGTATACAGTAACTGTATTAAAACAGTGCGAGTTTAATACAGGTGAAGTGAACTGTGAAGGTCATCTTTAATGATGAGCGGCTCACTATCGGCTGCGTGACGTCACCTGGTATTAACCACCAGTAATTATACATTACAACATACACGACAAAATGAATACGTGTTGCCACAGAGGAAGCTTCTTGATTGTCTAATACACGGGTTTCAAGATGATTGGAACACAACCATCAGCTTGAGTAACAGACGATGTTATTTATGTGACGTGAAGATTACCTAGTTAATGATTTATCATTTATCATTTTTCACAACCCTTAATTCGTTGTGTTAAATGTGTGATGTCGCCGGGAGCGGGCGCTGGTTCAGGTAGCGGCTTCTGAGAAGACGCGCTCGTCTCCAACATGTGGCCGCTAAATAACATAAAGCACGCGCCCGGCGACCGTGGCCGACGCTTAGAGAAGGTTATTTGTTCTGAGGGTTGAGTTTTTTATTCAACACAATCCTTACAGTCAATAAAGATAAAACTGAGAATGCTCTATTGTCTATATGAAGACAGACTGAAGAGCTGCGTGTTCTTAGAGTGTGAATGTTTTAGTGACTTATAAAAGATGGTCTCGTATAACTGATACTGTTATTTCAGCCAAATGAATGTTAGTTATTGTTCCAGTAGCGGCGTCATCAGTGAGGCATGTTGAAGCACGTGGCCGTGTCTCCTCACCGCGCCCGCGCCGACTCCGTCAGCCTGGCCTCCTCTGCCTCCTGCTGCAGCCTCGGCAGTCTGGACAACAGGCACGACTCCGTCACGGACCTGTCACATCGTACTGTGAGTATATAAAACATACTTAACTCTAATTACGTACGGTGGCAATCGGAGGTGCCAGAAAATCTACCAAACTTACATGTATATCATAAGAGGAGAATTACATATTTAAAACTTATAACCTATACCTAAGACTACATGATTGCCCCGATGTAAGGATAGCAATGCCATTCCATAGCTTGTGTGTATCAGGAATCTTCTGGTTCACACGGCTTGGTGTTCGATCCGCGGAGTCAGCAGCGTCACTCGTTATATGATACTTTATCCATACAACGGTATTGCCCCGGCGATGTTCACTTATTTTTAATATATTGCGCGTACGTAACACTCTTCTGCACAGAGACCTCCAAATCAACTAAAGATTAAGCCATTGAACGTCTTTACATTAAAATTTGGAACACAATACGTAGTGTAGTGGTAAGTATCGAGCGATACACCAGTACATTATAATTACGTTCAAGTTGCGAGTACAGAACTACAAAAGCCTTACAACAGTGTAACAATGGATTAAGCAAGTGGTCAGCTCCATTTACCGTCGTTTGTATAAATGTTAGTTATTCTGTGTATTCATGTTTTGTATCCACGGTCTCTGCAGGTTCACGCAATATCAATTTTAGAAAGTTAATATGATGGTAGGTGTATTATTTTGTTTTGTTGATGTCACCACTCGCTACTTCATATCTGGAACCACCGCTGATGGTAGCGCTGCCGTCAGGGTGGTCTGTGGTGTGCGAAATTAGCATTCAATCTCATTTATTACCGCCGCATCCTTTCAATAAGTCACTTTTTCCATTCGTTTCCGTTTCCGTTGCTTGATGAAGATTTAGATCGGTTTTGATTTACTTATTGAAGATTACTATAGTCATAGTAATGATGTATGTATTAATGTTGTAATAATATGTCTCATCTGACCTGACCTCTGACCTCCAACCTTCGTGTTCAACTGTCAGTCATTATGTACTACCGGTCCTACACGTAATTACCTTTCACCAGAGAAATTATATGCTAATATTAATTTAATGAGATCTAAGACTTTAGTTACAAATAAAAATAATATTTTCGGATTTACTAATATTTACTAATATTTTTGGATTCGGATTACTAAGCGGTTTCTATTATTTTAACTACATACTCCCGACGTTTCGGTTACTTTGAAGCAACTGTGATCACGGGCAGACGAGATGAATAATACATATCTTTAATGGCATTTGTTATTAAAAATTAGTATATAGATATTAGAAAGAATTTATATATTTTAAATATCTACATTTCAATGTATTGAATGAAATGAATAATATAATATTTTTTCTAAGTCTGGTGAGTGGCAGGAAGCGTCTGTGTACTTATCAAATAACATGTTATCAATAGTTTGCATACAGTATCAAGTAACGATGTTAGTCTCCATTGTAAGGGCGTGTGTACATTGCTGGTGTCCAACCTTACGAGCACCCACCGGTATATATGTGATCTACCAGCTCCGTGTGTTTTTTAGACTTCACAAGGCCAGGGTCTTACAGTAATCCATTCAACTTGCAACATTTTATGCCAATATTGATATAAAATTTTTTTTATTCCCGCTTCATAATTCCCGCCATTTTTGACTTGCAATATTGACTTTACATACAGTGAAGGTTACTGTTGGATGTCATTTCTCGTGCGGTTGCTCCTCTTATTTTAATTGAACTTTTTGTTAACTTTCGTTCACATTGCCGACCGGTACGGTTCCCATGTACCAAACAATTGAGAAATCATCGTCTATCTGAGTCGGCCATCTTTAATTAATAAGGTTTTTTTTTTGTAAATGAGGAACAATGCTGAAATCGCGTCATTGTCAGATGCTTCGTTAATATTGTCTGAGGAAGAACAAGTCACGGTCACGCCGAATAAACTGTTGAGATTCAAGTTATAGCGAAAACAATAAAAAGATGTTATTGCTTAAAACGCAATTAAATTTTAAAAGATTTATTTTTATATTCTTAAGATACAAGACAATGAAAAAGAATTGACGGATTTTATATGTAGTAAGTAATAAGGATTATTGTTTGTGATTTACTTAAACTATTGTTTATAAATAAAAAGTGTGTATCACATGAAAAAATATATGTCCTTATGAGCATATTAATTTACGAAAATATGAAACATAATACAAAAAATGATAATCACAAGTTGTGTTTGTATCTTTAATAAGGAAATTTGTATTTTCGTATGAAATACATGTTTTTTGTTTGAATAATTTCAGACAATAAAATCGTTTCCGTCTGTTAGAAGTTTTTTTTTGATCGTTTGTCCTCTACTCACAATCAAGCTGTTCTGGACCGTATTCTGAATAAATCTACTGGCTTGGTTCGTAAATGTTTCCATCCACACATGTGTAGTTAGCTAATACAAGTGTTGTCATTGTTTGAAGTCATCACTCTGGCGTCGACCGTTAATGGCTGCAAAAGGACTTGAATAATATGAACAATATTATACAGGGTGACTGGTGAATTACTATCGATATTTGAGGACGTGATATTTGACGATCATATATGACGAAATAAAAATTAATATAACATAAATATTAATAAACTTCTAAGTAAAGTTAACCAAAAGTTGTGTAATTAATTACGCATCGTATGAACACCCTACAGATTACTCTACACTACACACTCACACATGCGCGCGCGGCGGCGTGTTGTTGTATCAGCACGCCGCCGCACGCCTCCACACTAGGAACACTTGGAACGTGAACACACTTTATTTATTTATACGGAAATTTGGTCAAAAATTAAGTACCTATTTTTTTTACATTATTCGAATGAGAATCATGTACCGAGTATGCTCCTTAAATATTGATAGTAATTCACCAGTCACCCTGTATATTACATGCATTTAGTTTAAGAACTGTTCTGTAAAATATGTCATTACGGCTCTCTACTACGGTAATTTTGTCCTTTTATTCATATGAAATAAGAAAACGTGATAAAAAATGTTAGCGTTATGAAAATAACAGAGTCGTATAAAGGCTGGGAGTTCTATTGTGATGAAAGTAACGGCAATCCAGACTTGAAGAGAGACTGTTACAGCAGAAACTTAATTATATTACAGTTATGATATCTAGAAAAAACTATAATATCGCGAAACGATGTTTTGTAATATTCGAAAGAGAGAACAGCCATAACGTCAGTGACACTATTTAATAACTATTTGGAGCACAGAGAAACCGTTTTATTTTCGTGATAGTTACAAAAATGTAATATTATTTAGCGTCACTTAATAAAGGTATTTATTGTTAAAAGAAAGTTCGTGTATTTAATAAATATGTTCCAATGAAAGTCAAGCCACTCTATCTGTGATGTATTAGTAGGGCCGCTGCTCCACAGCTCATTTCCCACGACCGCGTTGACATCTGCACCCAGCATATTGTATTGTTCTCCGCTATTATATTAATGAGGCTTCTTTTGTCTTAGTGCAATAGATTACATTGTAAACTACATCGCATTTCTAACTCTATCACTCAGATAATAAGATCCAATCTCCCTCAGCGTGTACTAGAGAGCGCTGCTAGTTCTCAGAAACAATTATTCGTTTGCTAACTGTTCGGACAGATTCACATGCTGTGTCATAATTTTTGCATCTTGTAAGTTTTTCATTTTATTGAGGCATTATCTTGGGATGTCTCAATTTTCAAGCTGTTTCAAAAAAATATATTGTACAATAGTATTACATTTCTTTGAGGTATCAGATGTTTTCTGTCCTGAGTTAGCTAAAGTAGTACTATCAAGTAGTAAGTATATGAACAGTTAGTGTAATGTTAGGGCGTGTGTCTGTGCGTGAGGGAGCACGTTCCCGTACAATGATGTACGGAAGCGTTGTCACTTCCGCTGCACGTGAATAATATAAATATAATATTTATACAACCTCCTACCTCCTCTTGGGTTAGGCGTAGAATTTGCAAAAAAAATACGTATTACATAAATGTGGAACCTTTGTATTAAGAAACATCGAGTTATGTTAATGTTAATGTTCGTTTTGTTTAACAAAAAGTTACAAAGACGTAGTATCGTGAATAATTGTTCCGAAAAGTCAATTATTATATGAGTACTCATAAACATAAGCCATCAATGTACAGGTAAAGGAACATTTGTCAAACAAGTCGAGTGAGTGTTGCGTGTCCTATCGGCGCGTGCTCCGACTGTCATATGTCACGGATACAACAGGTGGATGGTAGGTAGTAGGTGTTACTATACTACTTTATTGACATCCTTTGAATATATACGTTTTAGTAAAGATTTTCAATCTTCAGAGACTAAATGTAAAAAAATGTTTCTTATTTCTATACGTGATTGTAAATTAAGCAACTACAAACATAATAAACTATATTATTAAAATCATTTTATGTAATACAAGACGTTATCCGCAGCTTTGCCCGTTTTACTGGATGCTAAAAAAAGTTTAAACAAACTAATTATTTAGTGTTTTCGTAATAACTAGTATCTATTAATTAATTTATGTATCGTTTTTCTAGTCTTGTCTTGTACAATACAAATAACATATTTATGTAATATGTTAAACATTATTTCTCAGTATCGCGTGTAACAGATCCGTGGTCGTGATCGTTCATCATTCTAACGACATACAAATAGATTCGGAACGCTTTAAGTTCGTCAATAATATTAGTAAATGGAGCGACTTATCTAATCAGTGCAGCGACGGTTCTGAGAAATGTATCGAGATGTGCTGCATACTGCATACATGTAGTGACGCCGGGTTTAACATACGTATATATTAGGATAATTATGTAACATTATCTCTTAACAATATATGTTTATGGTAGATTCTTTAAGCATTGAATGTAAATTTCAACTTTCCACTCTCATCTAGTTTCATTAAATTCAAAAGTCTCTAAAGTAGGTAATTGATATTATAAATGTATGATGCTCGTTGATGTAATAATAGCTGAAAGGATTTTGATCAAACTTTGCAGTTATGTAGCTTAGATATCTGAAAAGACACAGGGTATA